TACCTCAACCTTTGAATTTTGACCGTAAGATGCATTTCTTTTAAACACTTGGGACTTGGAGCAATAACACGCTAATGGTTTAATTCAACTTCTTGCACTCTTTGCACTCAGCAGGTCTCAGGGCGCGTAGGCTTCAGGATAATCATCCTGATCATAAAGATAAATTAGATGAAATCACGAAGAAGGCTACCGCGTTGTCTTACAGTTATTTCTACTAATCAGTGGTAAAGGGAAGTTTTTGAAGCCATCGGGCTGGTTGTTAAGACACTCTCATCTCATCTATATTAATATTCTTTGATGGAAAAATATCCATCTATCCTAAATTCACATGCAGAACACCTGTTGCTAAGATACCATTGATATCAAATTTCTTCCACAGTCGGCACACCAAGGCTATTTCGCAAGCTTGGTTTCATTTTATGCTTTCGACTGATGTTAGGCTAATGTATGCTCTTTCTATCTGGGTATGAAAATATTTGCTTGGCCATGGTTACAAAACTGTGCTTTCGAAACGAAACTATATGTAAAAGTTTTTTCGACATTCCTGGCTAAATTGTTGTTGGAATGTCGAAATTTCTTCTAGACTGGAACAAGAATTAGATGGCTGCGTGTTGCTGTTCCCGTTGTTTGAATCCACTGATAGACATCAAAGATAAAACTGAAAAGAATGCAAACGTCGCCCTGTAATTATGTAAGTGAGCCATTTTGCAGGAGTCCAGATTGACAATTGAATCAGTTCAAATGGAACAAGCTTCACGAGCACGACTACTGAAAAAGAGAGAGGTACAAACTTAAATAACCGACTTGTGCAATTCGATTAAAATTCAACAACATATCAACTCTGACAAGACTGTGGCAAAAGGGCTAATTCTGAAGAATTTCCGGAAGAAAAGAAAAAAATCGAAATTTATAACAACGAAAAAAATAACAGTTGGAGCAGATTGGGATAAATTTATAGTACGTAAATTGATGATATAATTTGAACGGTGTGGCTTTTAAGGCTGTTCCGTTTGAATCAAATGTCTTGTCGTTTCATTTAAAACTATGTCAATAAAAGGAGGCATTTAGATATGTCAACGAAGGGACACAGGTAGCATCGCTAAAGTGGTAATTTGCGTTAATTTGCTTTAGCGTTGATGACTTTTTTTTCCTACAAAGTTGGCACAGAGTCTTGAATTCTTGGAAATTATGGAAATGTGCACTCCGATGTAAAAGATAACTTTGCTAAAAATGGAGGAAGACTGAAGAATTTGAAAGCTTTAAAGAGAAAATTATTTCTTGATAATCGCGTTAGTTTTCGCCTAACAGATATCTGGGCGATAAAACTGAAATTCCGTCCATCTTTGTAGCAAAACGTTTATCCCCGAAAGTCACCAACTTGCTCGGGCCATACTAGTTCAATCAAAGCATTAAGTCCGAAAAAAATTTCTGGAAGAGTATTTAACACAAAATGTGCAAAACTCCAATCCTTATTTCATTCCCACATTCGTGAGAGTTCTCATTACTCGAAAAATTACCGTCGACAGCTGCATCGTTGATACTTTCAATATAATGCATATTAAAAGAGAAAAATAGTTACAAATAACATCGACGGACTCATGAAAAGTATTATCGCTTGAAAGATCGTCTTCTCTCCGTCATGAAAACGCCGAAATTTTACACAATTAAGGACGGCACCTGCTATTAAGATCTAATTTAACCCGGCCAATGACCATGCAAGTAAAGAGATTTCATCACAAGCTATTAAAATAATGGAAAGAAAGTAGTATTCTGTTTTTGACCGAATATAACCGGAGGATTTTTTTTCTTCTCTCTGACTCAAACTACTTTCAAATTCAATGAGTTCATAATTGTATAAGCCGTGTAGGATGTCATCCCACCTGTTTCTTTCAAACTTTCACAGATTATTAGGTTCAAAACGTTATTCACGAATTCAAAGTATTCTGGGCTTCTGCTTAATCTCTGGGGTATGAAAGCTCTCACATCAAATCCCGGGATAAAACCCCAACATTTGCTTGAAAATATTAATTGCACCTCCAAAACTTATTTATTTATAGAACGTGATGAATTATAATCTTCTTTGGTCCAAAGGTTGTACCAACCTAAAGGGGAACATGAAAGGATCATTCGCATAGAAAAACACTGACATTTTTTCATTTAAACACTTTTATTTCCCAAGCTCAGCATCTGTTGATTAAAAACGATTAACTTGGCTTTTTAAGGATGGTTGACGAGGACTCACTAGGATAAATAACACTCAACTAAGAGCAGTATCGGGTACCCTGTGTGAAAGAAACTTTTTTTTTCTTCTCTAGCCTAAGCCTGAGCCTAAGATCATTTGCACGACAGTCCGGCTCTCTATTACCTGAGCTAACCAGGCGGCGGTTAAGAAAGGTTTAGGGTGTCTCGAAACACGTTTGAATTTATACAGAGTGAAATGAAAGACCTTATCCACATAGAACCAAATCGCATGAAACCGTCACCCTAACTCATGTTCAAACGTTCTTTGTCTGTTGTCCGTCATTACACTCAGAGACGTATTATGCGCCCAGGACGAACTATCTTTGGTGCTGCGTCGTTCAACACACACCACCTAGTATAGTTCAGTTCGTTTCGATACATTACGCGTTTTGTGCCTGTCTTTATACTAGACACACATAACTAGACGAACCTCAAATGTTTGCCGAAGTTCGTTCAGACGGGTAATGCTTCTTTAATTTAAAAACGGCTAATGGTGAAAACTGACATCTGGTGTTCAGTAACATTCCTTTCACCACACGGATGACCGGATAATTTTGATGAATTTACATGAATTCAAATTGATACTAATAATTCTCTTATTTTCTATATGAATTATATTTCAGAACTTGGATAACGAAATAAATACAGCTTATTTAGCGCGCCGATATTTTTATTGCATTTTTCCGAGCTCCGTGGGGGCGCGGAAATATGGGACTGAGCAATAAGTTAAATGTTCCCTCGTATCGTACGGTAAACAATCGAATAAGAGATTATCATTACCCTATTATTTCATTTTCTAGTATTATTACATTTTCTATCTATTGGGTTTGTTACAGATTGGTGTTCGGCTCTAATGACATAGCCAGAACTTCAAAGGCGCCTTCATTTGACAGCTTGCCCTCACAAGGACTATGTCAGTGCTGACAATTACATTATGGTACGAAGATGAAACGTTGTTGTAAGTCTCAGTTGTGGTTCGACCATATACAAGCGAAGCTCATCGTTGATTTTGATGCAATAGATTTAGAAACAAATTAAAAAGTGAAAGTGAACGTTATTCAAAACAGGGTGACCCACTTAGTTACGAGGCTGTTGTCCAGAGGGGCCCTGTATACGCCTAAAATTAACACTCCTTTAAAAACCTTGTGAGCAGCGTCAAAGGTATCGGATTTGTATTTTGGTGAAGTAAAGAGCAGCGTCCTTTCTTTGACCCTTTCACTTCCATGATCTCTCTACAATTCTCCTTACTGTCTGCCATACAATCCTTATGATGTTACTTTGGGGAGTTTGGTATTGGATCAGCAAATAATTCCCTATTAAATACTTGTATTTTCTGTATTCTCATCACTTGTCTGCTTGAACTTGTATTGATATTGTAAGGAGAAATTCTTTCTTGGTCACTCTTGGGAATTTAAGGTTTAAGAAGTTGTGAGAACTTGTTAGCTGGTTTCCAGCTAACGAATCTCTTTCTTTTGACTCACTCACTTTTGATTCCCTTTGGTGAATAAAAGCAGCGCGGCATTGACGACGTTAGTAGGTCAATCTCTATCGACGATCATAATCGAAAAACGATATCTACCGCAACCATGGAAAATCGTGAATCGCAGTTTCCTACAGCAACATTCAAAAGTAGCTAGAGTGAATCATGGCAGGTGAATAATCGAATTCTTTTTTTTTCTGTCATTTAAAGTGCATCAAAATTAATCAAGTAGTTAGTTTTATACACGCGCTCGTGGACATAGAGGCCAGAGTTTCAAAGAGACTTAGCAACCTCGCACAGTCAAACGTTTTTGTAAGAATAAGAAATTTTTATGTCCATGGCATCAATTATAATTTCATTGAAAAAGAAAGATGTTTTGCCGTAAGTATACGAGTTACCAATTTGGTAAACTATACGACACATGAATAAAGGGGGTAAGTTTCTAAAGAAACTGTGTTGCTATATCGGTTGGAGGTATTACGAGAGAATTTGATTTCATAAACTGCGTTGATAATGTAAATTGGCCACCTAAAGCTGACGTTTTGGGCTCTATCCCTTCGTCACAGTGAATAGAAGAATTGGGGGAATTCGCTCTCCCGAAGGCCTAAGCTTGAAACGTCAGCTTTAGGATGTTAAGTACGTGGGAATATAAGCAGCACATTGTGTCCGGCTGCATAAGAAATTCACAGTCACTCATTTTTACAGTACTTTATTTTCATTCACCAATCTAAAGTACTTCTTGCTTGTAGTTGTCTCGTATTTGTTTCTGTGGGAAAAAAAAGGGGAGAACAAGAAAAGGGTTAGCCCAGAGTGAGGGAGTGCACCAATATAATTTCATTCCATGAGAAAATTGTTTGTGGTGCCCCATGATTCACAAGAGGGTCTCAATGGGGTGATGGCTTTTACGACTAACGGTTAAAATCTTGTCGAATTTACGGCTTAAACGTTTAATTCAATTCCATCGTTGCCACCGCAAGATTTTTGACTGTTATCTTTTTTACAACTACCGGTTAAAATTTGCCGATTTTTTACGCTTAACGACTAATTTATTTGGCCGTTTTACGGCGATCGGATAAGCCCATTGAGACCCTCTCATAACTGCCTCCGGTGGGATGACGCCTCCGATTTAAACGTTAGCCTGTTAGGCGGAACTTGATAGTGAAGATCCACTCTTTTAGCAGTCGGTTCAAAAGCACTTCACATTAGATGCGACAAGACAGCGCACAACAAAAGAGGGAAGCTATGATTCCAACCAGGCTCCTTCATGTGACCCTTGTTAAGACTTACAAATCAAAAGTCCACGTAAATATCTTAATATTTTACCGAAGTGAGCTCTTACCTAGCAGCTATCGGCGAAACTGATATCATCAATGGCAATCACTTGGCCAGAGGCATTTGCCTCAAACAACAGCTGATAAATAATACAAAAAGGGTTAGTAAGTGAGTTTCTTACAGGTAGATTAGCTGATAAATAAGTGAGAACTCGCTAAATTATTAGGTAACTAAGGTAGTGATGGAAGTCGTGGTAAATTGTGTTTTTTGTATGACCACAATATTTTATTCATAATATTAATCAAAACCATAACAAAATTCTCGAACGTGATTGGTTATCACCAGCCCGATTTGAGCACTAATAGGACAGTGTACGCGTCATGCATATCATTAGACAGTGTCAAATGGACAGTTAAAGGGAAAGTTAACGCGTCGTGCCTGTTCAAGTGGACAGAACGCGTCATTTGCACGCGCTGTTGTCTCACATTTCGCCGACTAACTGTTGATTTTTTATGAAAATGTACAACCGATGTCTAGTTTCTTTCTCAAATTTTGTCACAGTTTTGATTAATTGGTAACAGGACTTCGTGTCGTCCAATTCTGTCTGTAATCACACTCGTGATTAACAAATCGGACCCCCGCTTCGCAGTCGTCCGATTTTGTAAATTACTCGTATGATCACAGACCGAATTGGACTCCACTTGTTCCTACTACCATTATTTATAGTACAGTTGTAGTAATAATTTCGTAAAACCAAAACCAAAGAGATCGCAACAGCCAAAATAGAAGCAAGAAAACTGCCTGCGCATGAAAACGAGTAGTTATTGATATTAGTTTTGCATCTGATCAGTTGGTAGGGTGTCGCGAGTTTTCTGGACCAGGCACAGAGCGAAGTAAAGCAAAACGTAGGCAATGTCGGACTATTTTCGACACTCAACTGAAAATTGCTGTATCACACAAACTGCAGTTTAAAAAATTCACATCAAACATGAGCAAATGAACTTCATTGGCAGGCCTCTTCAAGTTTGATAAGTTGTGCAGTTTCGTAGGAAGGAATGAAATTAGTGGGTCGGTATGTAAGTATATATGGACGATGTAAGATTGGTGGATAGGTAAGTAGGTCCAATGATTGGCAAAAGAAGTTAACACCCCTCCTCTCCCCTTCAATCAACATAATAAACATAAGTCTTATAATTCATCTCGATATTATGAAAAAGTCCCCTCCCCAAACAATGTTGCAAGAAATTAGCCAATTAATGACCATTTTGAGGAAACACTAAATTGGGGGAGAAAGGAAATAAAAAATTCAAAAAGTAGTAGAGCTTTCCAAGGCTAATTGTAGGTGGGTAAGTAAAGGGGGGCGCTCTGAAGGTGGTTTGTTAGATAGCGTCCGCAAGAAAGGGTAGGGTATGTAGATGGGTGGGTAAGACGGTAGACAGGCCAGTAAGCTTAGTTAGACAAGCACAAAATAGCGGTTTCTGTTCACTGCCTATCAGCTAGCGTATTCAAGTAAAAAGGGAAATGGGTCAGAATAACGGAGCTGCCAATAATGTGTGAGCGTTGTTCAAAATGTTGACAATAGAGAGATAGAAGATTCAACTGGTACTGGTTCTCGTGGGACTCACCTGTCGATGCACACTGACTTCTACTCTGACTTTCTCGCATTTCCACACGCCTTGATTTCCTTGATTACTAATAGTTGCTAGAACTGTCTTTCTTGATCCCTTTCTATTCTCGATCTTATACAACGTCAGTGACCCCCTGTGGTGGAATAGATAAGATACACAGCCTTAAAAAATCATTATGTAATTGCCAATGTGTCCAAAATGGGGCATCTATGATAAACAGCATATTTAAGGGGAAAGTGCGGTTTAGAAAAAGTTGACCTTAATCGAAAGTTCTTGGCCTAGTAAATAATACAAGAGATAGGATGGGTTAATAACGGAGTAGGTGGCAGACAGCAAGAGGTGGGACAGAAAGGAAGGAGAGGATGATGGGAAGGTGTAATGAGCGGAAGGGAAGAAGACTAAAGGCATTCTTCCGGTGGGGCGTATGCGTATGACTTCAGATAGTGGGTAAACCTGACAGCTACCATCTTGAACGTTGTTGTTTGTTTGTTTGTTTTTTTTTCAAGCTTTTGAGAAATTCTTATTGTGAAAAGGAAATTGAATTGACTCATTAGTCGCGACTAACCTAGTGATGTAATAGTTAAACCTGATACACATCGTGCCGTGATCTGCGTTGTGACTGCCGAGGACCAACTCAAACGGGATCAGAAGTTGCGCCTTGCCATTACTTGTCTCAGTCACGAGAAATTTCCCTGAAAGGCGAATTATTTTACAGCGTTGCTACAAGTTTCTCACCTTGGATAATAAAATGATAGTAACTAGTCATCTCTTTGAAATCCGCCTTCTCTTTTTCATTTTAATTCTATTCAAATCTTATTTTGACGGATCAGATTTAAAACGACAAACCGTAGAAAATTCCAATGTTCCAATGGGGTTATTCTTTTCAAGGATGTCGTTATCGTTTGAGCTACTACCAATGCTTGACTCTCGCTGTTACTCGTTTTCGCCGTTGGTGTAAATTAGTAATGTAAATTATGGTTTGATAACACAACACAATGGAGGGACGGGACGGTGAGGCGAAAATTCGATTTTATAAAAACCACTTACTGTTTGAGTTCAAGGTCCGTACTGTAAGTTACAGACCGAGTTTTTCCGCACGGATTTATTGCCTGAGCGCGAAGCCTTTCCGAGCGGGAAAAAACGGGGTTCCGTAACTTACAGGGCGGAACAAGAAAAGGAAGTTAGCAAGATATTTATTATATCTCTGAGTTTAAATGGGGGAAGGGGAAGAGTTCAATTCAAACAAACTTTCGAATTTAGCGAGCCGTACAGTGATATACGGCCCGCTAGATTGACCAATCACAGCGCACGTATACTAACCGAGGGATAAAATGATACAGAGGACGTTCATAGTATTGGATAATACGAGGACCTGTTACCATTTCATTAAAAAGCGCGAAAAAATTTGAAACAAGATGAAAAGGTTATGGGACGTATAGTTAAAAGTTCCAATAATACAGCAGCAAAACCAGTGACAAAAATGTCTTATGCAATGTTTAAGAGAAGTCGCAATCACTTTTTGCGGGAAAAAACAAATAACATAGGGGGACCTTGTGGGGTTTTGCTGCTTCTAGAGCCAGGTTTTATTGAAAAGTTGTATTGTCTGAAGAGATTATTAATTCAGTGACAACAAAACGTCGAAGGAAAATAACTTATACGTAAAAACTTAAAACTAAACCGTTGATAGTTATAGTTTTTTTTATAATTGTGATGAAAACGCCTGACAAGACAAATTCGTACTGAGATCATCTTTCTGGTAACCACTTACCACTCCCCCCAGCTCCAGAGCTCGGTCCACCAGAGATGCTGCTTTTGATGACAAAATCCATGTCGTCATCAAACGGAACATTATGCCAGTCACACATACTATCATCAAAAGTACATTTTTTCACTTTATCACTGGCATTGCTCACTGCGAAAGAAGACACAGGGAATTGGGTCACTTGATACTGAAGCAAACAGCTGCACAGTATCAGCTGCGAGTGCAAAAAGCTTACAGGATGACTTTTTTACTGGTGATAGGAGGGGAGGGATGGGAAAGGAACGCAAGCGGCTGAGCAGGCACACCAGAGTAATTAAGAATGGTTCGAGTTCTTTTCTCATCCAATCGTTTCAGTTAAGTATTCTGAATACAATAGCAAAGGACCCTCGTCCAGGCTGCAATTTAAAAATGTTAATAGCAAAGCTTGAAAGCACCTGCTTAGTTTTGGTTCGTTTTGTTTTGTTCGTTTCTATGTTGTAATAGGATTTTCCAGGCAAATTCAGAGGAAAGTTGTAGCCTCCTGCACCATCGAGTGAGAAAAATTTGGCCACTAAAGCTTAGTAACTGTTGAGTGAAGGTTTATTCTTAGTGAGCTGCGCAGGTTGATGGATTTACAATAAGCAGTTGGCAGATAATGAGAATGGGACTGATCGTATCCTTCTCGGATTCAAAAGAAAATGATTTTCTTATGCATAAGTAAACTTTACTATGAGTTCCTCGCATAACCCAACGTAAGAAAAATAACATGTTCTACAGACTATAAAATCTTAAAGAGTTATAGGCCGTGAACTACATATGAATTTAACGTCCAGGAAATGGAAACGGTTTTAAAGAAAACTTGAAACTAAACAAGGTGTGCTGTTTCTAATTGAATACGCCATACAATCGAACCTCTTGGACAAATGTTACGCACGGAAAGTCAAAGGTTAATCTCTGTGGTAATACCGTAGCTGCCACGAGCTACACCTCACCAAATAAAGCCTTTTGGCAGTTCACCATAACTTAAAATAAACAGGAAAAACGGAAATAAATTCTAATGAAGGAACTCTGTTTAGGAGACTGGTAATGACGACTTTTATACAAACCACTACAAACCGAACCGCCTCCTCCTCCACCGCCGCCACCACCGCCACCGCCGCCGCCGCCGCCGCCGCCGCCGCCGCCGCCGCCGCCGCCGCCGCCACCACCGCCTCCTCCTCCTCCTCCTCCTCCTCCGCAAAAGCCACACGTCTTTCCGCAGTTGTTCTTCATGTAGTTATGCCATTGGCTTGATTGATCACAAAACCCGCTACTTTTCCAGCCTGAACAATATTGACTTTTGTCTTCACAAACTGTGAAAAAGAAATGCTAAATATCAAATATCTGTCTAACTTAAAGCACAACTTGAAGCATGCAGGAATAGCCCAAAAAATTACAAAAGTTAACGAGCTCTTCCATAACATTCAAATTTTCCTCTCGTTAAAATTACTTCCGTTGGTAAAAACCAAAATTTTGATTCAGAGTTTTAAAGATACGTTTAGGGATGAATATGGGATCAAGGAGAATCAACGGATGTATAAAAGTTTTTATTTGCGCTGTTTGTTTCTTTAAAAAAAAAGTCTGTTTGTACCGGAAAGCTGCACTGTCCAGCTCTCTGACTGGTCAATATGCTTATGAAATATAGCGCTATTTCATTGCTGCATGGCTTTGTCTTGGAATATTTTTTTTCTGAGAACTTTGGATTCAGTTACTACGAACTCGCCTCTGATTTAAGACAAGTAACAAACAAAGAAAATTCTGTAAAGTGAGATTCAGTTACCTGGAGGTTTAGTTGGGCCACCTGTTCAAGTGAAATAATGAAAGTAAACCTAAATTAGTTAATTAACAGCCTTCAACTAATGGGTTGTAAGGGATTGCCATCAAAAAAAAAAACTATAGTTAGGTAATTTGAAAGCTTGAATCAACATTAAATGACATTTGCAATTAAAAAGTCTGAGAAGACCCCTTTTATTTATATTTTTCTTGATTCTAAAGTTTAGCGTTACACACATTAGGTAAAAGGAGAAAAAAACTGAAAAAATTTTTCATAGATACACAGTTTAGTTCAGAAATGACTTTAGTAAAACAGCTGAAAAGCTTAATGATGCCCAATCATATCCAAAAGCTATTAAATTGCAAACAATCCTTTTTTCACTATAAGTACTACTTAAGAGGGGCGAGGTGAGAGAAGTGACTTTTTCTTGGAGTCTCTCTCCACTCATACAGTCGGTCTGTACGCGTTGGTAATAGTATGACAAAAATCACAGGCTTTCACGTGGTGCTGTGTTGTCGTTTGGTATCTTGATAAAATGTTATGTGATGTACATGATCACACTTGTGGTCGACACGACTTCCCTTTGGGCGAGGTTACTCAGCTAGGGAGCGAGGTGACTTCATGCGTTATGAACTACCTTCTGCGAAACGAGTCGGGAAACGCAAAGATATTTTTTTTTACCAATTCAAATTGATCCATCCAAGGATTACGCAAGGAAGGTGGGGAATGCTCGAAGTTTAGCAACACTTTGGAAACATTTATTCACGATAAATGCATATACTCACTACAATATCCGCATTTTTTCGGACAGTTCTTTTTCATGTAATCTCTATAGTCTTGACAGTATCTGTCTGGCCATTGAGAGCAGTAATTAAGTTGGTCCTCGCAGGCACCTAATAAATGGAAAGCAACTTTATTCTACCCATTTTTTTAACCATTACACAGAAGCAAGCTGGAAAGAGCGTAGAAATATATGTATTTTACTGTACTTTTAAGCTGAAAATAGAATGCGTATGTGAATGTCAGAGGAGCGGAAGAACATTGTAGTTAGTCACAAAAAAGGGATGATACGCAATTGGCGACATAGTAAGAGTCAAGACAAATTTCAAAAAAACGTCGAGTAAGACCTTTCCCAAAAATTCTTCATTTAAACCGAAAGATGGAAGTAATGAAATGTTTTCAAGGTCTTTTCCGTCATATGGTAGTTTATATTCGGAACATAAAAGTATGGCGACGCAGTTTATTATATAGAACATACAACGGTTCAAATCCCGTTAACCCTCCACCATTAATTGCCAGGAACGTGTTTGTAACTCTCCCCTTTATAATTTTCCCTGTAAATCAATAACGATAAGTTGGTGTTGTATCAAGATAAAGGCCTCGAACTGAAAATTTTGAAACTTTTGGGAGAACTTCACCTCACTTCTAGGGGTTAAAGCGTTTAAGAATGTTTTTATGGGCTCCTCGTTTAACTTCAGATCGAAATGGTCGACTCTGAAAGAAGTAAACTACGTCCTTGCGAGACAATTGTGCAATCACACCCAAAAAAAAAGCTAGCACTAAAAGGAAACAAATTTTATAAAATCAAAATGTAAAATGTGACCGTGGAGAGTAACACTGAGTAAAATAAGTCCACTACCGTGAAATAAGGCTGCAGCAGGAGATTTAAGGGAGGGATATATGTAATATTATGTTATTCACCATCCTAGAGGTCCGTTTTGGGAACAACTGTGCCCGAGGTCTTGAGTACCGTCGGTACCAGTACTCAAGACCTCGGGCACAGTGTTTCCCAATACGAACCGATCTAGGCTGGAGAATAACACTTTTTCCTTTTTTTTTCTAAAACTTAATGATTTAGGGCTGTAATTACGGCAAGATCTTCCATAAAATGAATGTAATTTTCAAGCGAATAAATAATAACGATAACAGAGGTAATGCAAATTAAAGAGAGAGGGTTCACCGAACATTTTTATTTGCGTAAAGGTGAAAACGTGTACAGTTTTTTACGAGTAGCTGTCTTGATCTGACACCTGTCAATTATAGAGCGCGTAAGAAAAAAAGAGCGCATGTACACTTTTGAAAAAACAACGGTACTGGTTTGGCAAACAAACTCCACAAACGACAATTTTTTTCTTCAACAAAAGTCAATGATCATACGGAAAGTATTATTCACTTTCAACAAAGAATACCTCTTAAATTTGATTCTATGTTTTTAAGTTATGGGAGTTTGACCGTTCGTTTGCTACAATGGCGTGTGCAAATCTGGTCTTTCTTCCACCGAAAAATTTAAGTCAAATGAGACACTTTAACTAGACCCAAGGGGATTGAATGCGGCTTTTTCTCGTCGAATTCCTTCGGTTTCTGTTGTGAAATTTACTATAAAAATGTCCAAATTGAACCGACTTGCAAAGACCGACCTAAAGCGTATTTATAGCAGAACTGAAAACTTCGCTCACCGTTTTACAACGAAAAAACCGTCTGCGTGAATTCAGGCATTAAACAAATGAAAGTTCCATCGATCAATTCAATTTTAAACAAATTCCTCACGTTTTGACTGAGTTACTTTTTGTGAAGGATTAAAAGTTAATTACTAACGGTTTTTAGGTCGCGTGTCAACCCATTTAAAAACACATTTTCTACAAAGATTTATTTCGAAACCAATTTTTGGCTGGCAACTAAAGTAATTTGAAAGAGAGAGAGAGAGAAAAGAGAGGACTAATAAATTAAAAATTGGCTTGATTTGCTAAAAACATGCTTTGCTCGAAAAATTACCTAGACGCTAAAACGAAATAAATTTATGAAAAATGGCAACGAAGCTAGGGATCTACTAGGCAACTCACGACAGCGTTCCTGCACCCGACCGCGGATAGCGATAGAAAATCCGGACCTCACTAAGAACCAATCAGACAGCAGGATTCGTTACCGTGCCCTCCGAGAAAAAAACCAACCCATTACAAGCTTACCACCTAAGGAAGTTATGCACTCTATGATTACTTTCGCAAAATAGGGTGTACGAAGTTAGAATAAACCCTTTTAGGGATTTTATTTGTCGATCAAGATCCTCGCGTTTCTATGTACTCAGCTGCAATGACTCTGAATGCGCCCAAAATTGGACAATATTTCGTGATGAATTCGAGAATTGTAAGATTAGAGATCCTTTCATTCCACTTTGTTCAAAGTTAAAAGCGAAATTTATGAGAAAATACCAATTAGTGAAACCCATAGTGTTGTAGCTTAGGTTTAAGAGGCTAACTTTCGGGTAAATAGGTCAGATAGATAGCTCTATGAAAGGAGGAAAGCTGGTTAATTTTCTTACTTTGTCTCCTTTGCCTGGTCTTGACTTCTTCTTCTGGAGCTGTTTCACGAAGAAAAGTATAGAAAAATATAGTTGTTAGATTAAGACAGAGTAACAGTATAACACATTTTTTGCCTTTTGTCATTGAATAATTCGAAACCTTCAATTTTAAGTGCCTGAAGGTGGGTTGATCTTGTATCAGATCAAGGTTGAGTTTCCTTGATTTTCAGGCTCTTAGTGTAAATCATCTGAGTAAAATACTAACGTAAAAGTAAAAGCCAGCGTATCTTCTGGGATATCCCAGAAAAAAAACCAATATTTTTCATCTCACGAACCAGTTGGTTTCATCTATTCAACTTCCTACCAAACTCAGTTGACTCAACAACTTTTCTGAAGCACAGTATGGAGTTGCAAGAGAGGTACTTATGTTACAAAACATTAATTGCCCTCTAGTCAGTGTGTGACTGATATAGGTGTACAAGTGCAGAGTTCCTTCGTTCATTCAGTTTATTTGCAAATCGTTTGAAGAGATTCGAAGGCATCATTTTAAGGTAAAAAATCTACTTCTTACCCTCGGGTTCATCGAGTTCAAATTCTTCAGGGTATTCTTCCTCGGGCAATGAAAGAGTAAATTGCGCTATAAGCGCCCAAGCGCACAGAACAGCAAGCCAGCGAATTGCCATTCTGCCAGCCAGACTGAAAAAAGAAAATGAATGTTTGATGTCAGCCTCAGAACGAATTATTTTTTCAAAAGACCGAGAAACGCCAGGCGCAAGTGTGTTTGCATCACCTGCGTGACGCAAGAGATCGAGCCATTCACTGTAGATTCCAAAAGAAAATGAAACGATTCTGAATGGATTTTCATGTTTGTTGAAGACAAGAAGGTTTTTTCAGCGTTAGGTTTGTTTACATGTACTCCAACAAGCCTCTAAAAGTCTTTTTGTGCAAAAATGACAGTATGCGATAGGGTAATTGTTCACCTGAGAGAAATAACAATGGGTTGTGAAGAACCAATTTGCGCAAATCGATTTTGGTGTATTGAAGATGTTTGCTTTACAAGCAGATTGTCTTATCCGATGGTTTCCGAAAAAAAAAAATTCGCCTCTTATCAATTGAGCCCGTTTTAGCAAAAGTTGAACCTTGTGATTTTAAATACAATTTATGTGTTTCAAGAAAATTAAAGAAAAACGTACTTTACACCTATGATGATCTAAAGCAAAACAAACAATATTATCCACAAAAACCATTGTTCTTAAAAAGTGAGATACGTAAAACTGATGATTGGAAGTTGTTTTCATAATTTCTTTCACCTTTATTGAATTTTCCGAATTCTCTTTTTAAGCAATTTAAGATAGACACTTGCATAACATTAGTGGTCATTTCTCTGGGGCAACTGAAAAAATAGAGTTTGGCTTGGTATGTATGCAACTTGGCAGCTAATGATTATACCAACAAATTTAATCAATATTCTGACATAGTAGTCGCGCCAGTGTATAAAAATTACTTAAGGCAAAGAAATCCAAATAGAATCTTTTGGAGTTTTTCTTTTGAAAAAAAAAATATCCGTTTAAGCAACGGCTGAATACAACGAGTTTCGTTGGAGCACCGTAAAATACCAGTTTTTAACTGGGGCTTGTATGAAGTCGTAAAGAGGTCTGTACATGGGTCTATAACCTAAGGGAAGCCTTGTATTAGAGAGGTTCGTAAGTTGAGAAAAGGGCAAACGTTTTCAAACAAGCTGCTGGCTAAACGTAATTTATTTCATTGCGATACAATACTAATGATTATACCAACAAACTTAATCAATATTCTGACATAGTAGTCGCGCCAGTGTATAAAAATTACTTAAGGCAAACAAAAACCAGATAGAATCTTTTGGAGTTTTTCTTTTGAAAAAAAAATATCCGTTTAAGCAACGGCTGAATACAACGAGTTTCGTTGGAGCACCGTAAAATACCAGTTTTTAACTGGGGCTTGTATGAAGTCGTAAAGAGGTCTGTACATGGGTCTATATCCTAAGGGAAGCCTTGTATTAGAGAGATTCGTAAGTTGAGAAAAGAGCAAACGTTTTCAAACAAGCTGCTGGCTAAACGTAATTTATTTCATTGCGATACAATACTACCACACTCTCGCTGATGAAGTATTTTACTTTCCATGGTACCTGACCACATGCTCAGACTCAGGTTCTGAAAAGGGATTGTACGATGACAAGAAGAGATGGGGATAACGGGACGTATTTATAAAAGAAAACCGTTTTCAGCCCGGGTGTTTAACTACAAGTGGGTCTTTCCCTGGAAGGTATTTTTTCCTCTGCTTAGAACAGATGGATATCTTCACTAGCAGGAGCACCTATAACCAGGAGGATTCACATCCAGGACTTCACTGGCTCAACGACTAATCAATGCCAGTTTAACCCCTTAGCCCCCAAGAGTGACTATCATCTAATTTCTCCTTACAATATCACTGATGAATCATTCAGTAAGGTCAGGAGAATAAAGAAAATTATCAGCAGCAAAAGAAGTTCTTGATTGTTACACGAATTCTTCTTGTCAGCACCTTAAGGAATGTATTGGGAACAGTATGGAGAATATCTTTACTGATGTGAGGGTGTAAAGGGTTAAAGCAGCTTTCCTTTAAAATTTCCTCTCTTATTCCCTTTCGAAAATAAAAAAAAATTATTTTACTGAAGCACCTCCGCGGGCCGGCACCTAAATGGTCGTAAACATCGTTGGATCAGATTAGCGAATGAATGAGTTTCCAGGGATTGGATCCTTGTGTTTGCGCAAAGATTTCTGAGATCGCCATGGGGCAAACATTGCAACTCGCTAGAAAGGAACGTATGGCGAAAGGTTGTTTCGACGTCTCAAAAAGACGATTTTGGATAGAGATTAGCACTTTTTCGCCACTGTTTTGTTAGAAATGGATTTGGGTGATGTTGAAACAAGGGAAGCGTAAGTTTTTACTTAAACAATCATGAAACATGTGGCATAATCATATTCATTACAATTTCCTTAAATGTGATTGGTGCATTAACTGCTTTATTTTTTACTAAACGTTCTATACAGCTGTAATCGGACAGTTGGCCGTAATCGGACACCTGTAATCGAACAGTTGAAGTAGTCAATCATACCAAGTCCACTCAGCCAAATCCACCAATCACAGAATTAAACAAAATAACCATAGCAACAAATACTTATCCTAAAAAAAATTGAGGAATTTCCAAGATAAAGAAATTTTTTTACTTTAGACATTGTCGCTACCGGAGATATTAAACCTAAATGTATTTGTTGTTTTCGGAAATTGAAACAGTTATGATTAATTGGTAACAGGACTTCTTGTCATCCAATTCTGTCTGTAATCATACTCGTGATTAACAAACTGGACTTCCACTTCGCGGTCGTCCAATTTTGTTAGTCACTCGTATGATTACAGAGCGAATTGGACTCCCCCCTTATTCCTAGTATATCATTACAAATCTGCCGATTAACATTTCTCCATAATGGTCTTAAAATTTACAAATGTGAGCCATAAATCGCCAAGAAATAACTTAACAAAGCCTTTCCAGCTTTGACGTGCGTTTAGTCAACTTCTAGCTTTCTTCTTGGCTTGCTAACACAAAAGAGCGCTACAACAGTTACCTCGAGGCAGCTGGAGATTGAAACGGTGTGCTTGAGCATTAATTATTATCGTGATACATTAAAGGGATCAAACACCTACATTGCCTTTTTTGTTGTGATCAATGAGAACGAACCAGCGTTGATAATCGGTTCAAAACTGAGCCCTTTCTTCTGCGACGATAAGTCATGAGGTACAAATGGGTTGCAAAAGGAGCGATGCATATCTGAATATATGTCCATAGTTTCTGCCGGAGTTCCCGTGAAATTGCTTTTCCTGACAAGATCCTCCAAGAAGTTTGTGGAGGAAAGTGTCAGCTTAAAACCTTTAAATTTTTTTCCAACAAACTTTCACTTGATCTAGAAATTTCCACATATTTTTCATCGCTGTCTTCATCCTTCAAAAGAGCAACAGCTCGGTAAAAACAATTTCCATCTCCCCCGATAACGGCGTATCTCTCTTAAGGAGGTATATCTCAGACGTCGTAATTTGTCTATTTATTTCGTTAACAAGTATGAAAACGGGAAATAGATACATAAATATATCTATATATCTGTATAACAGAAAAATCTTAAATTAGTTATTTCCTAGCGATTTAAAGCTAATTTTGTAATATTTCGTGACCATTACGCGGTGACGATTTCATAATAGACCTTACGAAAGGAGAGAGGTATATCGGTATATTTTATAACTTATTTCGTGGTAGTTTTAACAAAAACTTAAACTTCCCTCGTATTCGCGGAGAGTGAGAAAAGAACCAAGAGTAGTGAGTAAAGACAGACGCATCCTCCTGAAACTTGTCACTCTTAAGAAAGATGTGTGACTGTCACACAACAGTATTTGGTGGCCTGATAATGTCGCCACACTTTTCATCTTCAGAGTGCACGTGTCTTTAATTTTTAAGAATGTACATAACCTACACTTTCGACTGTTACGCCGATCAAGTCTTAAGTGAAATTATTATGGTCGTTTAGTCCAGATGTAATGATTTGTGACCAAGTTACAGAAGAAAAACTCCCGTTATGTGAACTGGAGTGCAAGACGCCCGTGCTTCGGCACTTGATCCTTCGATTAACGAACGGAAATGCGTATGTTTTGAGACAACATGATTCACTCTACATTCTTAAAGGCTAAGAATTACTGATATTTACAATTCACGATCGAATGAAGGTGAGTTTAGAGGGGAGTTTGCGAAACTGTATACTTCCAACCTTCACACAGAGTATTCTGATTTCCACAACAGTGTTTACTATTTCAAATTTGGCTATCAATCAGTCAGCAAAAAGGATGAAAAACGTGTCAACCTAATCAGTGAACTTACCTACTGATCTTTTTCTAGTCTATAGAGAGCCAGAGTATGAAGTTGCAAATAAGTGCTGAGGTTTTTCCTGTTCTTGTTTGATTTTTGTTTTATCCCGGGATGATTAGAGCGCCTTTCAAGACGGTTGAAAAATGTCGTGAACGTTTAGGCAGGAACTGTGAAAATGAAACGACTTGGACATGATCCAGTTACATGGGGGTTACTCTGGGAAGGCGGATGTTCTTGACAGTTCTTTCATCGATTCACTTTTTAACAAGAATTGAATTAAAACTTATGTCAACATACCAACAACGAAAATATGAAAATTAGCCCACATTGTGAATCACCTTTACAACTCTTAAAGGTCTCGTGAATTATTGTGTTTTGGCGCATGTCTCAATAAAACCCACAAAAGCCCTCAATGGGATAAAGAGATGGAATTAAGTCATGGCAAGCGATTATAAACTCAGAGACTGTATCCCACTTACATAGCCCTATTCCAATGATAATTTTTTAAATTCTAATTTTTAATGTGCGTTCCTGCGGTGCGACTATTTTGAGAACAACATTTGATTGGTTATTGGTTCTTTGATGAAGTTATAATGTGAGATGTTTGGCGGCGAGCAGTTTGTGTTCATTATGATGACATTTTTTGGTCAAGACGATAAAAACATAGGCTGGAAAAGCGTACCTTAGAAGCCTGAGTTTCTAACAATAGTTAATTCAGGTAAATAACCTCACAGATTATCGATCAAGTGGCAATAGCGATTTCAAGTGCAATACAATAGTTTTTAATCTCTTCATGATGGCTAACGAACAAAAATGGGACTTTAAGGCATATCAGAGTCACATATGAACCAAAGCGAAGAAAAAAATGGCTGAATTACTAAATTCGATTTTATGGAGTGTGCAGACATCCCTATCATACAATTATTTTCAACGACTGAAAATATATGAGGAGTAGGGTAAAGAAAATCATACTTGATTAAACCATCATGACTCAAGGGAATTATTTATAGGGGGCTAAAAAAGTCGAGCGTTCGTAAAGCAAAGATACGGCACTTTAGTGGTAATAATTATACTTCAGAAAACCACAACGGACTTACTTTTAAATGTATGGAATTATTACATGTTAAACTAACTTTAAATTAACTTTAAATTAATTTTAAACGGCCACACAATCCTTCGTCTCTTTTCATGCTATGCAAAGAAGTGAGGATAATAAATGTCAGTTTAAGCATAGTCTATTTATAAAAAGTTAATGGTCTAGCCTTCGGAAAGTGGTTTGATGAGTGCTTGTTATAAATCAAGGCGGCGGAGCTACAAAAATGAGTGGCAACACGTCCAGCCTTATCACACAAAACTTTCACAAAACTTAGACCGTTCCTTGATGAAGTTAAAATAGAACTTGAATAGAACTTAAATTGGGAATTTTTCTTTTCTTGTAGTGTAGGGTGATGATCTGTCCGGCTTTTACCCGTGAGAATTGAAGCCTTAAAAGTGTAGCTTTTTGTGTCGCAAAAGCACAGGAGTGTCTCCCCACCCTCGTGATGGATGACTTTTGATTTTGAAAGTTCGATTTGCGCTCATTCATAACCTTAAATGTTAATCTTCGGAATTATTTTGCTGCTGTTGAAAAATCATAAAACTTCTTCCTCGCTCGAACGTGCGAACTAATACTACGTCAAGAGATTAAAAAAACACCCAGTCATGTTTCACACAATCTTATTTATTTGGTGCGTGCTTCACAACCCTGCTTCCAAAGAACTCGTTCTTTTAAAGTCAATTACATTTAAATTTATCAGATAACTTGCTGCGTCACACTTATCAAACCACATCACATTCTCGTCACGCATCTATTCATTCAGTAGATGTTCAATTAAGGTGCTCGACTCTTCATTTTCTTCGTTTGCACAACTTCGTCTGATTGGGTACCAGCCCTCCTCTTCTCAGGTACATTCCTTCTACGCGCACAAGCGTCCGCCCACAGGTTCAATAATTCGATGTCCTCAATGTCTTCAATAAACTCGTCAATGTAGAGGTAATTGAACTTTAGACTCATCAGGGTGATACACCGGTCTAACTCTTTTGAAAAAGCATTCTGGGACTTGCCGTGGGTTCTTTTGCTGTTACAGATGTCCTTGTTGTTGTTTTCGTTTTTCCAGTGCACCCTTTTCTTCCTGTTGCTGTCCAGTCCCTTATGAGATGATTTCCCATCTCCTATGCAAAGCAGAGTCTCCTTGATTTTCCTTATCATAAACCTCCCGAGGCTAAATCGTCCTTTGGAGAACTGCGTAGCGGTTCGGTAATCATAAATAAGAATGGCGATAAAGATGTTAACCCATATTACTTGTAGACACATGTTGAAACTTATGAAGAAAAGAGGACCTATGACATCATGACAATCTTGAAGATATTCAGTCCTGACGCTTAAAACTCCCTGGATGAGAAGGGACTGGAAAGCACTGGAGAGCGAGGAATACTCCTCCACCTCCCTTCCAAATTGAATGAATCCAAAATGAGTGAAGGCGAACATGAAGACATAAAATCCTATTGAGCAGTTTACGAGTTCCAGGAAAGACGCCTTCGTGACATCAGACAAACGTTTAACATGACTATTAAATCTGAGCAAATACAGCAACTTCAAAGTGTTGAAAAACATTAATAAAGCCAAGAATGCTGTCTCCATATCATCGAGTAAGACTGCTCTATCAAAGCTTATAAACTGGAAGACATTTCCATGAAGTTTAGTCGTGTTAACAGAGAGTTCTACCTCTTTAAAGATATGAACGACTGCAAAGGAAATTGCTGCAAAGATCTGAGCCAGTTCAATCCAATTCAGAAATCGACGGAAGTAGTGTTTTGGTTGTTGAATCATCTCTTTGGTTTCTTTGAAGAAAAAGTAAACAATAAACAACATGAACAATATCTGAAAAACAAGATGAGCGACACTATAGCCAGCTCCAACGTTGTACACGAGAAGGGGGTGAATCACATGACCAGAAGCCACATAGCCAGATGGTGAGAACTCCACCGGGATCCAAACTGCACTAAACAGACTGACATGAGGGTTGAAAATTGCAAATTCAATCAATACAATACTAGTGTACTTGTCAAACCAGTTAAAGATGTTCAGCTCAGAAATGACTTTCGTGGCAGACTTTCTGTCGTAACCCAGTTCTGCTAGGTAACCACCTTGACTGTAGAGAGGATAAAGTCTTCCCCAGAAAGGAAGGCTTTCGGTTTGCTCTGCTGTAAAGTAACGCCAGGGCCTGGGGCAGACCTTGTTCAATGTTTCAGCTGAGGTATTCTGTGACGATGAAAGTGGAAGCCATCTTGGCCGATATAACTCCGTTTTATCTTCAGCCTCTAGTGAGTATGACCCGATGCAAGAGTTGAAAATAGATTTCGCTTCCTTAACGACTTGACATGAATCTAAAAGGTGAAAATTAAAAATTAAATCTTAAACGGTGCACAGTATTTCATAAACCTTCAAAAAACTTTGGTTTGCTCAGCCAAATGTTGAAAAAAGGAAAAACTCAATCAAAAGGAAAAACTCATCGCAAAGAGTTTCTAAAGCGTACGTTTCGAGTGTTACTGAGCCCTTTGTCAGACCCTTTCGCTCTGGCCAAAAAGGCTGACGCTCCAAACATCAGCTTAACAAACTCTTTTCGGTAAAAAGAAAATTTAAACTCAATTTATATTAATTTGATGTTCTCTTGGGTGGCCAATTTACACTATCAACTCAGTCGATGAACTAAATCATCTTGTCATACCCCTTAACGACCAGCACCACAGTTTCTTTAGAAACGTACGCCTCTTATTCATTTATGCTCGACAGAGTTGACTATTTAGTAAAAGCATTTCGTGTTTACTACCACTTATATCTTTTGAAAAAATAAATGTTCGCACTTTTTTTCACTCTTAGCTGTCTGAGGCGGGGCATCCCAACAAGGACTGCATCACCGTCTCCAGTGAACGTAGTAGAATTTGAAAACGACGAGTCCTTTCCATCCTGGTAAATTCCTGGAAATAGAACGTCTTGAAGCCACTGCCATAAGTTCCCGTGAGAAGAGATCTAACGGAGAAATGCAAGGTAAAAGAAAATCAGAATTTACTGAGATTACTGGAAATGCGAGGAAATCAATATATTAAGAGCACGTTTATATCAGTTATCAGAAACTCTTACCCTCCCCAGTGGTCAGGCAAAGACGATGTGAGTTGACAGGGACTCAATTTTTACCATAGCAAGCAAGTTGCCAAGTAAGCAAGTTGCCAGTAGTAGGATAGGTGAATGATTGGAGCCTTAGCTCTTTACATCATAACACCAGTTGCCATATTCTCCATACTGTTCCCTATACATTTCCTAAGGTACTGACAAGGAGACTTTGTTTAACTATCATGAGCCCCTTTACTTGATGATCATTTCCTTTATTCCCGTGACCTGATTATGGAAATCAGAGGTAATTTTGTAAGGAGAAAGAAGATGGCTCGTTACTCTTGGGGGTTAAGGGTTGAACATACCTCAATTACCTCTCCAAATGTTTGCACTAGTGATAATTTCAAAGAATAACTGTACTGACTCCGGCCTCCATAACAAATGATCATCAGTATCAAAAGGTATAGAAAATAGCAGACTATCTTCTGTGCAGCCTTGTACATACGCAGCTCTCGCATTCGATAGATCCTCGCACGGTGCAATTCTTTCTTGCTCAAGGGCTTTGGTAAGGCAATTTTTTCGTCGTTTTCATCGTCCTTTTGGCCGTCAGCAAAGGTAACTTCATCAAAATGAACGACTTTCTTGGGTGTTTGAGCAAGTTCATTAGCATCCGACTGACAAAAGTACGACAAAAATGAAGCCACGACGACAATCTTTACAGGTTCAGTAACAAATATCTCCACAAACAAGGACATAACAATGGAGATGAGCCATTCCTCGCTTGTTTCTTTACCCCATTGTAAACTATATAGAATAATAAAAGTTGCTGATGCAGCTGAAGAGATGAAACAAAGGAACCAGGCCAAGTAAACAAAGCAATACGGTAAGGTCATCCGATGACCTCTTTGGTATCGATGTTTCTCGGTGACCTTGTGGATGCTAAACCTTTCTCTGACCTTGTATCTTTGTTGACGTTGCCCTGGTGTGTCGACATTGGTCGCCACGTGACTGAAGATTCCTACTATTATCAAATTTGCAGGAAAAACTACAACAATGCTCTCCATTGCAATAATTAGTTGTCGCAAATTTAGGACCAGAGGGCCCAACCTAAATGTGCGCTGTTGCTGAGCGTGCCCAGGAACAAACTGATAAAACATGGCACTGGCCAACATTGTAGTCAACAGAAGTGACAGGCAGCACGACAAGCGCTGCACGCGAGTGAAGAGTCTACTTGGTGGTCTGGTTGCGATAGAAAACCACAGATGCCCATCACCGAGTTTTTCGGCCACCGTATTCCGGCAGGATTCCCAGAAATTCTTTCGCTTCCCGGCAGTTGAATCAGCAGCAAGAGTGCGATCTATTAGTCCATCGGCCTTCTCAACAGCCAACCACTTGTGGCAAGTAAAATTCTTAAGCTCCTGACTGAACGCGTCATAAATCTTGATTGTGTTTAGGTACCAAGAGGGGCTTTCACCAGAGTTGTCATGCCACACGCGCACTCTCCGTAAGGGGCCAACATTATTCGGAATGGAGAGAGTGAAACACGTTAAGCTTCCCCTTGCAAATGGAATGAAGGAACCCCTCTTTAAATGATAAGGCCGACTGGATCCCAGCTCGCCCTCAAGCACTAGGTACACCTTAGCACTGGTTCCAGAGTTAGACCAAATGCCTGTGGATATTTCAATCTCGTATCGACAACACCAGGGTGATAAAGATCCCAAAAATGGTTTATCACCGATCTGCAATAGACGGAAAAGTAAACGCAAATATGATAATAATAGATATGTTTTCATTTTAATGGGATCAAAATCAACAAAAAACATTTGTAGAATAACGCCATCATCTTCTCCTTAGAATTTAACTGACCTTCAAAGCATCTTTCTGGTCAGCCTTTCGAACCCACAGTATAAGCATTAAGTAAAGTCCGAACACACAGCTCACTGTTATTATAACAGCTACGTTTCCAGTCTCTGGGATGTGTTGTAATTCAATGAATACTTTGTCAAAATCGATGGGGTTTGGTGCCACAAACAATTCACCTCCAAATGCAGTCAAATGGTTGCACTGGCAGTGAATCGTGTCCATGGTTGTAGTTTCAGCCACCTGTTAATCATGCACGCTATCGTTAATGAGAGAGATTTAAATAATATATAAGTTAGGTCCGCACTTGATTTTCTAAAGTGAATGGTTAGATTATATTGACGCTGATCAATAAGGTTCACATACCTCACATCCATCATATGTCCACTCAGAAATTGCATTATTCCAATAGAGACAAGCAGCTGGCATCACTTGTATGGTGTAATTTTCATTACCTTTACTGAATTGAGGATCATTGGGGGATTGCCCTGTTTTAGTATCATCTGCTGGGGGGACTTCCTTATATTGCACACATGCGCGTTTTGACCGTCCTTGCCCTGAGCACCGCCTCTTCCTAGAAGGGCTCTTTGACTTGACTTGTATTCCAATGAAGTAAACACCTGACTTTTTAATGACCTTACTGTTTACAAACACCTCGAATGGATCACTTGAGCAATTGACATAAGAACCAGATGGCGTCTGAGCGCAAGATGAGAAGTTAGGGACGGTAGCGTTTATATCACTGTTATTAGCAGAGGGTCGCTTTCCAAAATTAAGAGTCACAAGCAATTCTGTTTTGTTTTTTTCAGGACGAACCTTCAGTATCAGAGCTATCCCTAAATGGGTGACATTTATCTTGTGGAAAACAGTCTTACGGGCACCAACGGAGTGTGATTGAGAAATGTTATTTAAATGGTGAGTATTACGCAGTTTGATAATCATCGGCGTAGTCAGTTCTGACATATTCAGAAGATGCCCAGAGCTGTTCTTTAGCTCAAGACTGGAAATTCCAGTTGTCAATCTCGCCGCTGAAGGGTGCCAAGAGTAGGATACAAAACTCGTTGTGATCATCTGAAATACAAACGCAATTAGGAAATGTGACCCCGCTAATCTATCTTCTCCACCTAAAGTAGACTTCCTTGAGTCTTCTTTAAGCAGATGAGACTACTTAAGACACCTTCAGGGTTAAAATTAATGGAGATTACATGTGGAATGTAAGGTCAATAAGGCATCAACAGGCATTACGTTTACTATGATCTTCTAATGGTACAACAACGTACAGGTAAACACTATGCTTATTATAATGTTAATAAGGAGCCGGCTTTCGTTGATTCCCTCTTAAACAAAATTATGCAGTAATTCAGTTTGTGTTTGACATTAACTCATAGTCTTTTGGATGTGAAGCAGGTCAAGAAACTGAATGACTGCGACATTCAGAAAACCCGTCAGAGAACAGTTAACGTCAATTCCATACCTGGCTATCCAAAAACCGTGTACCATTGCCAAACAGGTTTAAATCTGAAGGAAGCGCGAAGCTGTAGCCTTGGTTGGACAAAACTGACCCTGACAACAAATAAGGCTCCTCTCGAAATACAAGTAGAAACACCGAACGGGATGAAAGCTCTCTTGGTTTCTCTCCGACAAGGGTTCGGGACAAGATCGTACTTCCGACATTGTCCAGCGACTTTAAAAGGTCCAGAGCTCGAGCTTTCGACTGCAAGATAAAGTTATGAGTCTTAATAGAAACCAGACGGGGCTAAGCCTATGACTGAAACCAAGTTTGATTAACAAGACTAATTATCATGAATATTAAAAAAGAAATGGTGATACAATTTAGGAAATGATTGAACCTAAGAGATAGCTCTCACTTTACGAATAGACCGATTAGTGGATAAAGTTCCGCTAAATTGGTGATAAGCCGATTGCAAGGAACGAGAGCATTAATCCGGGTTAGCATCAACCCCCTCGAACCCTTGCAAAAATTCACGATTTCACAACTTCCCGCTTTTTTTCAGCAAGCGGGACCTCGTTGCTCCTAAAAATATTGACAAAACCGTAAGAAACGTCACGCTGTTGTACCTCATTCTTCGCTCGTTGCAGCTCAGCTGCAGCATTACGCTGTGATCTTGGTTGGACAGCAGGGTCTAGAGAACGAATGCTTCTTCGTAGACGGTGTACATTTTCAGAATCTAGCTGGTGAGTGTTACGTGCCTCGTACTCTCTAGCCCTGTAAGAAAACACCTTGAGCATGACACCGAGCCCTGCTGCAAGACTCTTCGCACCATCCAGAAGCTCTTCGTAGCTTCTCTCTGTGGAAGACTCCACTTTCAAAACTTTAGTCATCGACTGAAGGGCATCTGCTGCTGCTATCTGAAAGTTGATCATCTTATCAGCGTGCATTCAGGCGTCACAAAGTGTCATTCGAGGAGAAAATACAAATTAGACTTTACCCTTTTTTCCTTCAAAGGTGGTGGATCGGAAAAGATTGACCGCAAAGCTCGTTGGCCTTTCCCCTCAAACTAGGGAGGTTTATTACTGCAAATGTTTATTTACAAAAATTCAGTAGGCTACATATACCTGTGCCTCTACGGTAACTTCGTTAACAATCGAGACGGCTTCGGCTATAACACTTGATGTCTGCTGTATTCTTTCCACAGTCTCCACTTGTACAGCAGACAACTGCTTGACAATGATTGATTTCACCTGTAAAAAAATTACGTCCATAAATGCAACCTGTCGTCAAGAAAGGCTAGTCATGATCAGCATTTACAACTCAGTATTATAATTCCTTGTAAATATCCTATTTAAC